TTTTTCTCATAGTGACTACAAAGCACGTACGCACCAACAAAATGGTTGAGTCTCTCGCATATTATCCTCTATATATATGTGTAGATGTGTAGAGTCGAATGAGACATTCTTGCTTGGAGTCGATATAATTGTTGGTGACTTACATCTTAGAATCTTGAAACTTTTCGTTACGTACAAAATCATAAAGAATTCTACTTTTAAGTTTTTGTGTTCTTTTTACAAGATGGAGAGAGAACAACCTGTATTTAAATATATATAGTTGCATCTTTCGGTTACTTATTCATTGTTCCTGTATTTAATGTTATTCGCTTTTCATGAGTAACAGTCGTGGAACTAAACTTTGTGAACCAAAGAATAACCGAAAGAAATAAAATTTTACTAGAAGAAAGAGCTCGAATCACAGCTAAATAATGCAGAAATGTTTTGAATATTAATTTCGATTTATTTTATGCCACTTAAGCTTTGTGATTTATAGGAACGAAGCTAATCGCAGAAATGATTAACAAGAGCGTTTCATTGGAATGAAGCTAACCCTAGAAATGATTAACAACAATGTTTTATACGTTTGTTTTCAGTCTCTTTGCAACTACATCGCTAACATGTTTCACCTAAGGGCTACTCCTCATCCCCCCCAACCAAATTTTCCAGATAGTGGCGTAGGAAGGGCGTCGGGTCCCCACTTTTCAATGTGTCCCAGTAAAAATGCATCAAAATTTGAAAAATTACTCTCAGGAAAAGCATGAGACTTCACAAAATTTAATCCAGAACTCAAGAGCTTCTGTAATGGATATACCTGTGACACATTCCCTCGCTTCGCTCGGTCAAATAAAACTTGACCCCCCACCCACTTTTAATTTGCCTCCTACACTTCTACCGGACAACTTGAAACATTAACTGATAGTTCAACTAGTAAGCAAATATTCGAGTAAATCAAATTTTCCAGCTAGATACATGTGAAATGTTTTATATATTTTTTATTTTGATTAGTTTCGTATGATAGGAAACATTTTCTGACTCTGGAAATTAGTAGCTATTATGATCATTGATATCAATATGACTGAAACACAAACTTCGATGTTATTTAATAGTGTGTTATGTACATGTTTAAAGTTTAAATTTCGGTAAACATTTGTGAAAGCACACGCAAAAATGCATTACACATGTTCAAACAACAATACAGAAGAGCGTTACTGTGTGATGGACGAGTTCATTATATTTTGGAATATGCTCTTTGCTGAAGAAAATTTCGTCTTCCCGATTAACTTTTTTTCTTTTTTAGCCGCGGCATAAGGGCTCATAGAATGGCTCTGAGTATTTAGCCGCGGCTGAGCGGCTCACAGAACGACTCTGAGTTTGTTTGTTCTTAGGGGTAGGCTGGTAGAGATCCTGATGAGTAATCAAATAGAATCGGGTATGCGCGTGCCCCACGCTTGGTATTGCTGACGCACAAAAATATAGCTAATAGAAAGGGAAACAAAGGTCTCATAGATTAATTTACTCTAATCCCGCCTAAAAGAATTTCAGTTGCCGCGGCTATTGAGGATTTCTTCTTGTTTTACACGGTGAAACGTACGAGTTCCGACATAAAAATATGAGAGACGCAGTAATGTGAGAGGACACTTAAATAGCAGGGGCCTACTGAGAAAAAAAGGGCACTTTTCAAGCAACGTAAGGGATTTTTTTTGGGGGGGATAGATGAGACTATGGTGACTGCGGGTTGTTTCTGGTACGCATAGGATAAAAAGTTATAAGAAGCAAACAGATCCTCTCTTTCTTTCCTAATCAATTTGTCCACATGTACGATCTAAAATTAAACAGTGAATCCTTGCGTGTTAACACTTAATATCATATTATATTTTTTTTTTTACAGAGCCATAAGACCCTGCGTTCCATTCATTTCAAAGCTGAAATTAAGCGAAGTGTAATAGAAAAATAGGGCACTTTGGGGGCATAAGGGCAGGAATGCAGGGGCTTTGATCTCTTCCTCTCCCAGCCCACTTCTCAGTACAGTTCACTGGAGAGACGAAATCTAACAGAAAAGCAAAGTCTTCAAATAAATATCCTAGAATTAACTCAGTAGAATATCTCGTAATCCACAATCCGTGAATTTTATCAAACACACTAAGTAAAGCATAGAAACGAAACATTAGCTGAATAACTGAGCCTATATATATAGTTAACTAACCCTTCTTTAAGTATACGAGTATAAAGCACACATTTCTCAATAAAATAAGATACATTTACATATTTACATTTGATATGAAAAGGGCTAGTGGTGTAATGAATTCATTTTTAAATAGTTTCTAAATCTACGTGTTGTAC